TTATAATTATTCTTAAAACAGTAGGCTTCTCAACTACCCTTGACTCCATTATTAAATCACCAATATAGCCATCAACTTCAAGATCAATTTACCACTAGCAGTTTGTTTGAGTGATATTCGTAGGACTATAAGTAATGTGCATATTCATACTTGCGAGATTTTGGTACATCAATTTCAGAATCAATTTTTTATGCATACTGTGTTTCAAGTCGCAACCATTTTCCTTACTGAATTGAGCTTAGAAACATTTGACAATAAACTTTATTGTTTTTGTATTTACTACTTTATATGTTTAATCATATGTTGCAATGATAAATGAATTTGGTACAAGAAGAATATAGTTTTTCTTGTGTCAACCTAACTCAAACCTTCCTCCAATTCTATCTTTGAATTTTAACACAGATTGGAGAATGATTTGTTGTTCATGGTTATCGTATTTTTGTGCTTAAAGTTTATACGCCCAACTCCTACTTCACATCTGTATCACATTCACATAACAAACAAATACTATGATCCTGCCCAACATCAAATTGGCATTGCTTGAGAAAGCTAACCTTCTTGAGTTGTTTGCTTTCCTCGTAAGAGGTATTGTCGCAATTTCATAAAAAATCATCACTTTCATTGGATATTATCACCTGGTCAAGGCAAGTTTCCTTCCTTGGTGGACCCACACGGTCTAGATTCCATAGACGCAAACGCACAACTTGAACCAACCCTAGCAATTATGTGTTGTAGATTTGCAGGTTACACCAATTGAAGAAGTAATGAAGTAAAAGAACTGTCCTCTTAAATAGTTAAGAATTTCTAACAGAGAGTTTACGTTCAATGCGAGGATTTTAACTAATTACAGGTTAAATCTTTCCACGAATAAGATTCTATTATAATATATAAATTTTCCAGTCTGATTTAAAACCAGTGAGGAAACTCAAATTGTCATTACCAACCACAGAGAGAGAGCGCTCCCATCCAAACTCACACTCTTTTTACTTGGGCATCTTTGTTGTTCTTCCTCCCAAGGGAAGTTAGGAAATGCAAATCATGCCTCTTCATCTTATAATATAACCTTAGAAGTGATGATGCATTTAACATGTAATTTAACTACTTCTCGATAGTGCTTCAAATAAAATAGTTGGTTCTATGAAGAAGATAAAGAAAGTCGGAAATTTCACAACTAATTCTTGAAATTTTATTGATCAGAATCTTGATGTACGGAATATGGACATATACAATAAATCTGTACTTATTTATTAGAATGCTAAAAATACTGAATACAGGGTAACAGGCCATGCGTGATATCTCTTGAGGTGGCATGCATATTAGAAACTTTACTTTTATCTGACTACTAATCTATGACATAATCAACTAAATTGAAGTCAATAACCATGACAACTTTTAGCCTGTAAACTTAAACAGCTACCTGTAAAATCTTAAAACAACACTTTAAACCTACTATAGGCATTATAGATTAAATTGGTTTTTACAGGAAAAGTAATCATAAGGCAAGCAAGAATTATACAAATAGGTAATAAGTTAGAAAAACAAATCATCGAGTATTATCACAAATCATCGAGTATTATCAACATGTATTAGTAACAGGTTTACAGTTTTCAAACAAGCAGCCACCTTGTTGCTATAAATCCAGTTTTTGTATGTTATTGGATATGTGTCACAACATCACCATCCAATAGGACTAGCTTGTTTTGTTGGGACAGCGTTAATAGTCACTATATGCTTGGCAGTTTAGGAGATTTACAATATCTCCTACGTATAGCCAAGTTTTCGATAAGCCTTTCTCCTTTCTTCTAAAAGTGCTGATCACTTGAGTACTAGATTGTAACTAGAGTTTGTTATAACAATGAAAAACATAACAACTTAACATTATAGGGAGAGAAACATAACTAAATTTCTTTTTTTTTAAGTTCAACCTTAGATCACCACTCAATCTCAAATTCTCTTGCAACCTCTTTATCAAGCATCTTAAATTTACACTTACCAAAAAGTAATACTTGCGGAAATCTCTCAATTTAAATTTATGCCAACAAGAGTGGACATTTTTTTTGCAGAAAAACGCTTGAGCATCCACTAAGTCCAAAATGCCCTCTCTTATTTGATCGACATAATCAGTGGAATGTGCTTTTTTGCCTAGAAGTTCTTTAGACATGAACTAAGAACTCTTATTCAGCTTCTAACATGGTCCTAGTTAACTTGAAACAATATAGAACGATTTATGAAAAAATAAATTAAGCAAAATCCTTCTTTACCTTAGCTTTTTAATTAACATTCTTATAACCAATCCCTTACTGAATTTCATCATTTACCCTCCTTTACATTTGATATCCTATACATGTACCATAAGGGTATCCTAGGTAGGGGTGCATTTGGTTCGGATACCAAACTTACCATATCCATATCCACTTTATAAAAAAGGATACGGATACGGATATTCTTTGGTAAGAAAAAGTCATAACCATATCCACATTAAACGGAAACGGATACAGTTCAGACACTAGAAAAGCAGATACGGAAAAGATCATGGATGCAAATCGGATAGTTGGGAAACACATATGACTCGAAATTGAATCGGACATGATAAAAAATATCACGTTAATTGGACAGTAAAAGTTATCAGTTAAAATAAAGTTGTTTCAGACAGTAAATCTACATGGAATTTCAACCACTCCCACCTAAGCAAACCTCACAAAACCAAGAATTGCATGCAGTTTATTACAAAAAAGTAGAAGAAAAGAATTGAAACACAAATTGCTGCAAAATTTTATTCTGGACCTCACATTTTATTATATCCATTGATAAAAAACAAGTCAAATAATAGTATAACATAAATTTGACTATAAATAAGTCCAAAATAAAAGCACGATTCAATATACTAAAAATATATGACAACATTCCAACTAGGGGTGGAAATTAACCAAATAATTAATAAATGGTTTGATAATTGTTCGAATAACTATTCGGTCATATTTGATTCGGTAGTTCATTTACCACTAAACAAATATTTTTTAGTATTCGAGTTTATTATCAAATAGAATTTAACCAGATGTATATTCGATTCGTTTGTCTATTAAATATTCGTTTAAAAATTGACAAAGCTTATTATTTGTATTATTGTACATATGATGTCATATTTTTAACCCACTTACCATTTCTATTTAAGTTGTATATATCGATTTTAAGACTTAAATGATCTTAAATTTGTTTTCTAATTAAAAATTTGATTTAAATATACATACATCATATATTATAAGGAATAATTTTTATTTATGAATTTTAATACTATTTGAAAATCAAATTCTTTAGCGGAATAAATATACTTTGATATTCGATAAGTATTCGTGAATATTCATGAATATTTATCAAATACCAAGTATTTGAGTTCGAATTCGAAAAACTAGATATATGAATATTAGAGTCCGCATTCGAATTTGATAATTTTAAACAAATACAAATATGAACACCTTAGTATTTGATTCGATTCGATCGTTTACCACCTCTAATTCCAACGTGTATGCAATTGTTATAAAGAAAAGTAATATTCATATCTGCTACAATATCGGTATCCGAATTCATATATGAATACATAATCGAATCTATATCCAAATTCATATTTGAGTATATATCCGAATCTATATCCGAGTATATTTCCAAATCTATATCTAAATCCGAATACCTGGACTATATCCGAAGTTTGAAACGATATCCGTATCGACACCATACCTCACCCAAAATCTGAAACCATATCTAAAACCATATCCATATCAGATTGGTTTTAAAATTTGGCTACTATATCTGCATTCCTTTCAGATATGGTTGCTGATCGGAACAAATATATTCGGACCGTTTTGCACCCCTAATCTTAGGGTATATGCTATACTTTTCTTTTCTTTTTTTGGAACTAATTTATACCTATTTGTGTATGAAGATATTTGAAAAACAAATTCACCCCCAGCTCCACTTCCTCAACGAAAATATTTACAATTTTGTTCGATCTCTAGATTACCATTTCTTTGGTTGTAAAGGCCAAGAACTAGAGGTGGATTAAATTGGGTTAATTTGTTTTGAACCATGTTAACTATAAAGATTAATTCTACATATGCTTGAGTTATAAATATTTAGCCGCGTCCACTCAAGAATCTTTCTTTTATCGGACTAAAATACAAATCTAGCATTTTCCATAGCGAACCTACTTAAAATCAAATGAATGTGGGACACGCTTAACAATACCAAATTTGTGCGCAGAGACGAAATTTGACACTAGAATTTGCTACTTCTAACCATTCTTGGACTATTTATAATTAGAAAGGATTTTAGTCTTGCATAATAATTTTAATTTTGATATGAAATTATCATTATTGATAATCATTAAAGGATGAATACATGTATTGTGATATAGGACAGTCATATGATAGAGCTATAACAATTCTGCAATTAATCTAGATTGTAGACGACTAAGTAGAGGAAAATATTTTGTGAATTTGAAGGGCTTCCTTGTAGTGGGGAAGTTCATTAAGTTTTAGGGCAATGGAATGAAAATATTTATATAATTCATGTAAACAAATACCTCTCATAGGACCGACAAAATAAAGAGATGTTATTGGTCCTCGTAACAAACTTGTATATGCTACTCTGCCAATACTAATGGCCCATGTAACGAAATTGAGACTCAAATCGTGCCAAAATGTCCTACGTATGACTGATGTGATCAACAGAATGTGATCCCCCTCACTAAAAAAATAAAAAACTTTTGTACTTTGATGAAAAAATAACATCTTTCTCCCTAATGCGAAACGGAAGAAAATAGATCTATCCCGAATGGTTATTTGTATAAATAAAATTAAAAACAAATATTAAAACTACACTCTTCATTTAAGAATGAAGATAGAAATAATGAGTTTTCGCACCCGGGCACTTCACATGCCTAATAGTAGCTACAATTCACATGCATGGTTTCTCACAAACATGTTTCTCTCCTCCACTCAAATGAAAAACACAATCTTATTTATAGAGAAACAAAAACTAGGAAGATAAAAATAAATTACAACTAAAAAGAGATAACACCAAATAACATATTGTCAAAAAAAAAAGAAAAAAAAGAGAGAGATCACATCAGATAAGATTGCAATCAAACAAAATAACTAATTTATCTAATCCTAATTGAAGTAAATCATATCCAATCTTCACCAAATCTTTTTTTTCCAAATTCAGATATGAATTTCTTATATCTAATCTCCCCCTCTTGAAGAAACTCGACATTAAGTTTAAAATTGCATAATTTGATGGACTTTGAATTGCTTCATTGCCGATGTCAAAGCTGCAATAATGGATTCCTCAACTATCATACAAAACGAAAGCATACAATGATCGATCGAGAATGATTATTTAGATAAAATAAAATAAGAAAATATTAAAATTGCACTCTTTATTTGGAAAAAAAGATACAAATAATGGGCTTCACACCTAGACATTTCACACGCCGACAATTTATATGCCTAATATTAGTTACAACTCACATGCAGTGTTTCTCATAAACATTTGTTCTTTCCTCCCTAAAATGAAGAATACAATCCTTTTTATAGGAATAAAATAAAATCCTAGTCCTAACTAATAAATAACATCAAATAAAACATCCTAACCAAATAACAACTCCAATATCCAAATACCAGCTTCATTCTAACCATATTATCTCAATCAGAGGAAATCAAATCTTTTAGAAAAATCCTAACTTCTAATATGTTCTGCGTCACACCCCTCTGAAATCCAAAACTGAATCTAGACACAAATTGCTACTCCCCAATGGGCCCACACCTTCCTTTAGGTAGTTTATAGATTAGATTAACTTTCTTTTATAAGGTAAATAAGATGCTTGAGTCCTGCTTCAATATTTGAAATGAATAAAAAGAAAAAGTATTTCAGAACAAACTCTAAAATGTATATACTTTTTGTATTATCATCTTTCTTTTGAAATGACAACATTGTCTTGTACCAATTCAGACCAATATTTAGGAGCTGCATGACACCTTGGTTCATAGTTGTAGACTGGTCTATTTTACCTTCTATGTTTTTTCCAGTTGCTCATATTTATTTCTCCCTCTTCTCCTTCACTTTGTATGCTTACAAGACCAAAAGCCCACCCTGCACTGCCTTGAACAAAAAATCAATGGCGAATCCCTCCGCCACATGGAGCTCCACAAAGGATCCAATTGCTAGGCCTCTCCCCCGGCAATCTCTTCAACCTCTGCTCCAAAGGCTACTTCACCTGCTACCACAAAAGCCCATCAGGTCCATACCTCCTCCAATTGGCTGATGTTGACTGGCTCCGGAGCACAAGCCTTTTAGACAACACCTTGGGTCGACCAAATATCAAAATCCACAAAGCCCAAACGCAAACACTAGAATCCTTTGTCTTCACTGGCAATATCCAAATCTCAGGCTGAGATTGCCACTCCACAGTCTTCTACTTTACCACCGAAGAACCCATCTCGCCTAAATCGTTACTTTACCAATGCATCAACAGCAATGATGAATTTGGTAAGTCTAGATTTAAGATAGTAAATAAGATCGTTAAATGGCTGTGGATGGTGAATAAAATGATGGGAAATTGTGGGACTTGTTTGTTGGGGAAAGTGCTGAAGTGTAGCTATCATAAAGGGGAGAATTATTTGGAAATAGTCATTGACGTATGGAGCTTAGCTATACCGAAAGTAGTCTTGCTTTTGGGGCTAAAGCATATGACGGCAATGACGATTGATATGGGGTTTGTTGTGGAGGTGCAGGTGAAGGAGTTGTTGGAGAAATTGATTGGCGCAATGAGGATTGCGTCGCTGACATTTATGGAGACGCCAGCCATGGCAGCGAAGAAGGCAGAGTCAGTGGGGAAGGGGACAGCGAAGGTAAACGATGGGACAGATTGATGTTGCCCACCTTCATTCAAATTTGGCCTACTCTCACTTTGTCCATTATAGATTAGTATAGATTATGCATCTATTTCCTCTAATTCAACTAAGTTCTTAGACATCTTGCCCAATTACTAAAAGTAGATGGTTTGGTTTATTTATTTATTTTTTTATTTCTGACTAAGCTCTAATAAAGCCCCTTGTTAATGAGAGTTGAAGATAGAAGTTTTCTTGATTGAATAAAAATCTAAAATTTCTACTAAATCAATTGCGAGAAATTCAACCAAGTACCAAATCAATCCAATAGATAACTTAGAAGCCGAAATAAGAACAAAGAAAACAAGAATCACCTGCAGATTCTGCAAGATTGAGTTCTAGAAGCAGTTGAGAGAATCTGCAAGTCACATCCTCTTCTTCTTCTAGCTCCCAATGAGAGCTTAAGAAATTGCCCGTCGACGATCCAGAAGAGAAATTTCCGAACAAAACGTAGCCCTAGAACTCTCCTCCTCGAGAGGATCGGTGAATTAGTTTGATTTAGGGCTTAATTGCACTAAAAGCCCTATAGTTTCTTCTAGTATGCACTTATATACCCTTGCTTGTTTTTTTGGTCGCACTTTATTACCCTAAAATTTATAAAATTTTCACTTTAATACCATTAGTTATGCAAATGTGATAATTTTCACACAAAAATTCTCGACACTCACATGTTAATTTTAGAATATTTTAGCTCTTAATATTTATTAAAATTGATGTTAAACCCATCAAAATCTTATTTTTAAATAGAATTAGGGTACGCTTAAATTAGAATTATGGTAGTTTTTTTAGCAACAAGTCTAATAAAAACTAAGAATTTGAAGTCATAAAATTAGCATGTAAGTGTCGTATTAGAATTTTAGGGAGAAAATTCTAGTGTTTGCATAAATGAGGGTATTAAAGCACACATTTTAAAAGCATGGAGCATGTAAGTGCATCCAAAAGCAAATGAGGGTATACAAGTGCAAATATGGGAAACTATAGGGTATTTAAGTGCAATTAAGCCTAGCGTCCGATTATTTGTCATGCTACAGTACACTAATGTAGCATATTATATAACCTATACATAAGCTAGGAAGTTCCATTATCAAGCAGATTCTAAAAGGCGCAATTATGAGTTGGCCCTTGTTGAATGAATGTGTTAATTATCAGGTCAGATTTAAAGTTGCAAATCTTTAAAACAAACAGCACAATTCTGTCTATCTCTAAAAAAACAACAAAAAGAAATCAAATTCCTATGTAAATATGACATAATCTTCTTCATGTCACCAAATTAACAGCTGGATCCCTACTACTACTAATAGTAAGCAGAAAAAGTTGAGGTTGGATATTGCCTATCCATAACTTCTAGAAGCTTCTTAGCAATTGCACCAGCATACACTGAAGATCCTTCACGTATCTGCATGGGGGGAGAGAGAGAGAGAAATTTTAACTACTGAAAAACCCCTTAATATGCATAATTAATGAAATAAAAACTTAAATATTCATAATTAAATGCAACAGTATTTCTAAACTTGATGCATATGTTATGCCCATCTTTAATTGGTTTTTTTGGCAGATTATGCTGAATATAATGATGTCTTAAGGCTTAAAAATTGGAGCAGTCTCATAGTGAAATAAGGTCTATGTTTTTATCCTTCTAATTAAAAAATGCCACTATATGCCTTCAATATTACATACACATGTTGCATTACTTTGCGTTAAGCTTGCCAAAAACTTGCGAAAAAGAATCAAAATTAACTAGAAGCATACTAACTAGAAAGAAGAGAGTCATCAAGGAATCAATATCAGTCATCTGCAATGTAAAATGCACATGTTTCTAAAAGAAGGAACAAAATTAAAAATCAAAAGAAAGAGATTAAACCTTAGTGTTGAGCATGAAGATGTAGTTATCCCCTATGTTTCCTCCAGCAACATGCACAAGGTCAAGCTGAAGCTCTTCAAGGATCTTTGCAACATACAACAAACAATTTGGCTTCTTCTTCTGGTTCAGCTTAATATTAACTTCATCATCAATAATGCGAACATCGACAAAGCTCTCCTTCGACTTCCTCTGAAGCCAAGAACACCTTAAAGCCCCGTTGAGTGGGTGATCTTCCTCTCTTACAGGCCTTACACACGTGCTCTCCATGTCGCCAGAAGCTTCATCGTCAGCAATTAGCACTCTCTTCCTGTCTCTTCCATGCTTCTTCTTCTCTACAAGTATTTTCAGCTCATCAACAGTTCGATGTAGCTCTTTAATGTAGTCGATAGCGTCTCCTACTATAGAGGCTCTGTCTTTCTTATAAATATGCAAGAAATGGAAGCCAGTGTTAATTAGAAGAATCACATGGGACAGATTAATAGAAAGGAGAACTGGAAGCTAAAGGTGGTTGTGTTGAAGAGTTCGAAAATGAGGAGAAATCAAATAAAGAACATGAGCAGGGAGTTATCATCAACTGAAAAGCTATATAAGGAGAAAATTAACCAGAGAGGAATATGAACACGGAGAAGATGATCAGAATAATTGTCATCAAGAAAGAAACGGACCACATAGTTGTACACTGTCTGTAAGTAGTCCTTCTTGCAAAAATAGAAACTATTATTGAACAGGGCGAGGTATAACTAAACTCTAATAATGAAGCAAAGCACAAATGTTTTAGTTATCAGGAGAACGAATCAATTACATGTATCCAAAAAAAAAAGTGTGCCATGAAGTAGATGATTATCACATTACCCTTACCAAAAGATCAAATAGGTATAACATGCTTAATACTCACAAGTATTAATAAAAAAAAGTTCTTTTGTGTGCGATAATAAGAACATAATTTAACAGAATCCACTATAACTAAAATTTCACTAGGAAAGAGCACAAATTTTGTGCTTGAAGAGACCAACTGGCAACAAGAAATAGTATAGAGGAGCAAGGATCAGATATTGCATCATAAAAATAATGTGTAACAAAGAAGAAGGAAAATACAGACTAAGAAATATTTTTCTACCAAAATAAAATTGTACAATAAGCAAAAAGTTTTTCTGAGTTTGGAAAAATGAAAAGGCAATTAATAAAGGAGGACAACAAAACTAAAATCTAATTTGACCCAAAGGAAAAAAACAAACAAACAAAGGCTGTCCTTAAAGTGGCAAACTGATTTGAAGAAGGTAACTGACAGAGGGGACATAATCAGAAACATGCATCAACAAAGTACTAATCATAATGTCTTTCTTGAGTCAAAAGAGGATCTCATGGTTTGTACAAGTCATTTGAAAATGTAAGAGAGGAGGAACTATTAAAAAAAAAAGTTGAACAAATTCAACAAGTACCTTTGTGGGATTAGGTACCAGTGATCTCAAGGCAAAATACTTCTCATTCAAGTGTTCCCTCCTCTGCCTCTCAGTATTAACAAGGTTCCCCTTCACCTCACCCTTAATATCCCCTCTCCTAAAATCCATCTCTTGAAAAACTCCCCTCTCCACCCCACAAAAAAGCCCATAATTCTGTGGCAGTGACTGATACAAATCCCTTAACACATTAGGCTGAGCACCAACAGTATACCCCGTTTGCATCAAAGGATCATAACTCATTGAATTATCGAAAGGTATTGATGCAGCTGCCGTTGGAAGATGTATCAGGTTGAGGAGATTTGGTGCAGGCCCGCATGTAGGATTTGTGTACATCTGATAATTGGTTGAGTCCCAATTTACAGTCTCCATTTGGGGTGCAACACTGATATCCTCTTGCAGGAGGTCGAAGGTAATCGAGGCAGTTGCATCCTCAAGATCGATACAGAGGTTATCATCGAGTTCATTGTTGTTGATGCTGTTGGAATCAGGAATTTTGTAGGGATCAAAGTAGCCTGAATCCTCATACATTTTTTCCCCTCTATTATTGTTTTCAGAATAATTCTCTCCTCTCCCTTTGTTTTAAGGGTCAGTGTTTGAATCCTGTCACGTGGGACTAAAACACATGAAAGAGAAAGAGAAATCTTATGAGTTTAAGGCAACAAAAGCATTTACAGAGGAAACTAGAGAAAGATGGAGGAGGGGAAGTAGAGATGTTGATGTCTTATGAATGTTGTTGTGGTTCCTTTTGTTTTCTTGTTTTGGTTGCTATAATTGGGTGGAAGAGAAATTTTGAGAGGGAATAATATTCATAATCTTTGTTTCCGTGAAGGGAAGTTGTTATTTGATGAGATGGGATTCTTCATTTGGTTATGTCTCTCTGATCCAACAGAACTCTCATATTGTTCTCCTCACTACTTTTGTTATCATTATTCTTAAAAGGGTGTTGGCTTCTCAACTACCCTTGATTATAATACTAAATCACCAATATAGCCATCAATTCCAGGATTAGTTCACAGCCAATACTGAGTTTTAGTACTATACATAGAACTAAATGTAATATGCATGTTTGTAAAATTTTATCTCATGCACTTTGGTAAATAATGCTTGTGATTCGAGATGTACATTGTTGTGCGCGGCGGAAGCTTTCTAGGGCAACACGAACAATAACTCGAACTAAAACCACAAACAATATGCAAACCACAATCACAGCAAGAACACACAATTTACGTGGTTCGGCAAGTTGCCTACGTCCACGGGGCAAGGAGGGGGGAGTTCTTTCTACTAGAAATCAAGAGAATACAAATAGGGTTACAAATCTCTCAGACCAAACCCTAAAACAAAACTCTAAATCTCTCAAAGCTCTCTCCCAATTGGATGCAATGATTCTCTCTCTTTGGCTGCTTAAATTCGTCCAACCTCTTCCCTAAACAAACAGGTTTAGGTATATATAGAACTTACAAAACGAACCGGGTCGAAAACCTGAAAAACTGATATCCGCTTCGTCGGTCGACCGGACCGGTCGACCGCGATCAATTCCGGTCGACCTCTTGATCAACTGATCAAACCGGCTGCATCTAAAGACTGCCTACGTATCCTCTTGCCCAAGGAATCAAGCCGAACGTAGTTCACCCAAATGGCCGCCAACGGCCTCAGCACTGAAGGATGTTCAACAACTTCAAACAATGACCAAATTTCACTCCTGAAACAACTTTGGTCAACATATCTGCAGGGTTGTCATTTGTGTGGACCTTCTCCAATATGACATCTCCATCATTCAAGACGTCCCGTACAAAGTGGAATCTGACATCGATGTGCTTTGTGCGCGCATGATAAACCTGGTTCTTTGCCAAATAGATAGCCGACATACTATCACAATATATCCGAATAGTCTCCTGTGCAATCCCCAAGTCCTCCAATAATCCACGCAACCATAAAGCCTCCTTAATAGCTTCAGTAACTGCCATATACTCTGCCTCTGTAGTAGAGAGAGCCACTGTGGACTGAAGCGTGCAACGCCAACATACAGGTGCACCTGCCAATGTAAAAGCATAACCTGACGTAGACCGGCGTTTGTCAAGATCTCCAGCATAATCTGAATCCACATAACCAATACAAGCCTGCCCGTCCTTCTCATCCTTCTGAAACACTAAACCAACATCCACGGTGCCTCGAACATACCGTAGAATCCACTTCACGGCCTCCCAGTGACCCTTCCCGGGGTCATGCATGTATCTCGATACCATGCTCACAGCCTGTGACAAATCTGGCCTCGTACACACAATCGCATACATCAAGCTACCTACTGCACTAGCATATGGGACCTTCGACATATAATCTCTGTCCTCAACTGAAACAGGTGACATCAACGCTGAAAGCTTGAAGTGGGGAGCCAATGGTGTGCTAACTGCTTTTGCATTGCCATCAAAGCTGAATTTCTTCAACATCTTCTGCAAGTAGCTCTTCTGTGTAAGCTTCAATTTCCCCTTCACCCTGTCTCGCTCGATCTCCATACCCAATATCTTCTTTGCCTCTCCAAGATCCTTCATCTCAAACTCGGATGATAACTCCTTTTTCAGCTTTCGAATAGCTGAAGAATTCCTGGAAGCAATAAGCATATCATCAACATATAAAAGCAAATATATGAGCTCACCATCCTGTAGCTTGTGCATATAAACACATGGGTCATATGGGCTCCTCGTGTACCCTCGGCCAATCATAAAGCCGTCGAATCTCTTATACCACTGTCTTGGTGACTGCTTCAAACCATAAAGAGACTTCTTCAGCTTACAAACCAAATTTTCCTTTCCTGCAGCTTTGAAACCCTGTGGTTGTGTCATGTAGATCTCCTCATCTAAATCACCGTGTAGAAAGGCTGTCTTCACATCCATCTGGATCAAATCCAAATCCAACTGTGCCACCAACGCCAATAAAATCCGAATCGACGAATGCTTCACAACGGGTGAAAATACCTCGTTGTAATCAATGCCCTCAAGCTGTGCATATCCCTTGGCAACTAATCTGGCTTTGAACCGAATGTCCCCAATAGAAGATCCCTCCTTCTTCGCATATACCCACTTGCAACCAATAGCTTTCTTACCCTTAGGTAGATGTGCAAGTGTCCAAGTGTCGTTCTTCTGAAGAGACCGCATCTCCTCCTCCATAGCTTCCCTCCACCTGATCGAATCGGGGCTAGACTCTGCCTCCCTGAATGTGGCTGGAACCATATCATCAACGACCTCCACTGATAATGCATATGCGACCATGACATCATTATACCTAGCTGGCCGACGAATCTCTCTCCTCGGTCTATCTGCTGCAATGGTCCTCTGAACATGACCCTGTTCCTGAGTCCCATGATCTACTGTATCCTGTATCTGCCCATCTGTCATCTCATCTCCTCCCAGTGTCACCTCTGTAGGAGCCTCAATGGATACAGTGTTCTCTGGAGTGGGTGGAGTCACATCATCCTCCACCTGCTGCGATATCTCTCCTGTCTGGTCTCCCTCCACCTGCTGAGGGGCTCGAGGCCTCATCATGTACGCCTCGTCAAATGTGACATCTCTGCTAATAACTATCTTCTTGTCCTGTGGATCCCATAACTTGAAGCCTTTGACTCCATCCCTAAATCCCACAAAGACTGCTTTCCTCGCTCTCGGATTTAATTTGCCATCACTGACATGATAATAAGCTGGACACCCGAATATCCGAAGCGACTCATAGTCACTAGCCACCGAACCAAACCAACGCTCCAAAGGAGTCTTCCCGTCTATCGCAGTGCACGGCAACCTGTTCACAAGATGGCTCGCATAAACCAACGCCTCGGCCCAAAAAGATCTAGGCAATCCACTCTGCGTCATCATACACCGCACCTTCTCCAGCAAGGTACGGTTCAATCTCTCAGCCACCCCGTTCTGTTGCGGTGTCTCTCGAACTGTGAAGTGTCTTCTAATGCCGTGATCCCGGCAAAACTGCAGAAACGGATCACTCTTGTACTCTCCACCGTTATCTGAACGTAGAGTCTTCACCTTTCTACCTGTCTGCAGCTCCACTTTCTTTTTCCACTCCACAAAAATATCCAGGACCTGATGTTTATGCTTCATCGGGTATACCCAATTCCTCCTGGAATAATCATCAATGAAAGTGACAAAATAGTTGGCCCCACCAAGAGATGTGTTCTTGGAAGGACCCCAAACGTCCGTGTGAATATAATCCAATGTACCTTGGGTGTTATGAACAGCGGTGCCGAACTTCACTCTAGTCTTCTTCCCAAGTACACAATGCTCACACAATTCCATCTTGCAGGTCTTAGCACCTTTCAATAGCCCCTGTTTAGCCAATGACTGTAGGGACTTATCTCCTGTGTGTCCAAGTCTCATGTGCCATAAGGTGGTAGTGTCCTCCTCTGTAGTGATAGAAGCTGCCAGACCCCCTGTAACTGTCTTGCCCTTCAAGTAGTATAGGTAGTTTTCCCTGACACCTCGCATCACCACCATAGAACCCTTCGTGACCTTCACTGTAGCATCCTCTAAGATCACTCGATATCCTGCTGCCTCCAAAGTCCCAAGAGAAATGATGTTCTTCGTCAACTGCGGCACGAACCTCACTTCCTTCAATTCCCTCACTACACCATCATGCATCCTGATCCGGACTGAACCAATACCACCAATAGGGCATACGTGATCATTACCCATAAGCACGACATCCCCTCTTTCCAGCTCCTCAAAGCTAGAAAACCACTCCCTCTTAGGGCAGATGTGATATGTAGCTCCCGAATCCATCATCCACTCCGTGGAATCCGCATAGCAAACCGACGGTAAAGCAGGGCATGAATAGCCTGAAGAATCTGAATCTGAATGCTCACCAATAGCTTTTGCAACATTCACTTCTGAAGCTTGTGCAGCTTTCCCCTTATTCTTTCCGGCTTTTTCTTTCCACTTTGGGCAGTCAATCTTCCAATGTCCTTCTTCTTTACAATACCGACATTGATTTCTACCAACACTCTTATAGGCACTCCTATTCTTTGACTTTGAGCGGTTAAACTGACGACGGTTTGGATCTCGGCCTCGAACTGCTAACGCATCTCCCGATGCCTTCTCGGAGGGTTCACCATCACTCTTCCTCAACTCATAGTTCACCAAAGCTGAGGTCACCTCCTTGTAGCTAACTGTAGTTCTTCCATTGATCATAGTGAGAACGAACGTACCATAATCATCTTCGGGCAACGAACACAGAAGTAGCATCGCCTTGTCTTCATCCTCAACTATAATATCAACATTGGCCATATCTGAAAGTAGCTTAGTGAAATTGTTGACATGCTCCCTGATGGAAACCCCTCTCTTCATCTTGAACTGGTAAAATCTCTTCTTCAAGTGAAGCCGATTCTCAATGCTCTTCGTAAGATATTTCTCATTGAGTGTTTCCCACATCTTCTTCGCCGACGTCTCGTTCATAACATCATAAATAAGATCCGGCGTCAAGCATGACCTAATAACACCACAAGCTCTACTGTTCATCTTTCTCCAAACCTTATCCTCCAACTCAGCGGGTTTCTCTTTTAACTCAAGAGTCTCCTCCAAATTCTGTGCATCCAAAGCATCCATCACCTGACACCTCCACAATCCAAAATTGATCTTGCCATCGAACTTCGGAACATCAATCTTCGTGTTATTGATGCTCAGACTCTGTATCGCCTTTGTTAGAGACGAACCTGACGTGCTTGCATCTCCCATGTTGTCGATCTAGCTCTGATACCAATTGTTGTGCGCGGCGGAAGCTTTCTAGGGCAACACGAACAATAACTCGAACTAAACCACAAACAATATGCAAACCACAATCACAGCAAGAACACACAATTTACGTGGTTCGGCAAGTTGCCTACGTCCACGGGG